GCAAGTTGATGATCTTCACATGTTTAAATGTGCGAGAGTATCTTCATGATGTTAACTAAAATCTGAATAGACATATTTACCTATCATTATTGCTCCAGTCTTATCGCCTACGCAACGATAATATCCGGGCAGATTCACGCAAGTGTCTCCGTCACTACACCCCCAGCGTGGTCCATTTTCATCAGGATTGCCTTCGAGGCACTCATTAATATCTAGATAATGGATATGAAATATTCATAATCCTCACATGATGTTTACACAAAGAAAATGAGAGCACTCCAGTAACAATTTACTAACCTGTGCATCCGTTAAAGAGGTATGGATTGCCTCTATAACCTCGATTGCATCCACAAGTTGCATAGTTGGTCCCGGAAATGGTGATATTGTTGCATCGGCAACTTATTCTCTCTTGAGTATTATATGTAAGATTCTCGTACTCTTTTGTGTTTTTGCAGCTCAAGGAGTTTATGTAAGAAAGATTCTTCGTCTGCATGACCCATCCTATCGAAACTACAGCATATCCCTTAGCAAATAACTTTTCTGGCTCGGTTGCATTCGATAACGTGTAGATATCATCTGTCAAGAAAGCGACTCTGCATTTTCGGCTTGTCGAGTTTCCATGATCAAAGCTCTCTATTCTGACACCAATCACTTGTTGAGCCTCATCAGCATCCGTTACCATCGCAGCGTCTGTCTCCTTCCCCTATGTTCTTCGTACAATCCTCAGTGTATTCGTAAGGCAGAGCATTGCTGGAACACCCGGTTTGGTCGAGAAAAGGGATGCTTTCCCTAGGTGGTGCCTCTTTCCTTGCTGTGCAATTCAACTCGCATCCCACTATCTCCGATTCGATGTTGTTAGTCAAGGACGCTTTGCTGTTGCAACCAACCGCTATGAGGTAGTTTCTTCTGTCAAAGAAAAATGGACTATCTGTCAAATTGAAAAACGATCCAGTCTCTTTCCCATCTCTGGAACATCCTAAGGAGGTTATCGGGATTCTGACTCGAATTGACCCGAATGAATCAATACTGAAATCAACTCCACTACTTGGAAAACTGATGTTCACATATTTATTATCATACCTGTTTCTTGAACAATGGTGAGTCTTTTCTTTTTCTTTCTTTGCGTTACACATCAAAAGCTAGCTTATGAGTAGGGGTATCCATGTGATGTGACTTCAAGTTAAATAAATATCCAAAGAATTAGAGTTTCTAGACCCAGTTTATAAATTTGTTTTCATCAAACGACATTTTTGTTACTCAAACAAGAAGTGATATGGTAAGCTACACTGTAATAAAAATACTAACATAACAAAAGGGGAATAGAACGGTTCTATCAAGTTAATCAAAATGGTCGACCTTTGAATAACTCAGTGGAACAAAATAGACCGCACAAGATAAGAAGTGCAACATCATCATCAAAGTGCAGACACCGAAGCTACTTAGCCAAAAGTGCTAAGAAAAATCATGTATTGTCGTGAAGCCGACCTTACCATAAAGTTTAGAGATGAACATCTTCTCCTCGGTTGCCCAGTGAATACCATGCCGACAAGAATTAGAACTCCACCATAACTTGGCGAGCGCATGAGCCAGTATTTAGGAAATATCCAAAAGAAAAAGGAAGCTAGATATAACGTAGGTAGGGAAGGCCAAAGCAACGGCCTTGATTAAAATCTCTTTCCCATCTATTTAAAGAGCTAGTTTGCAAGTTCTCATTAACCAATTCTGAATACAAAAAGCTACACTCTCACTCATTTATTTACATGAAATCATAAACCAACAAAACCCACACCAAAGTGTTTGTATCACAATGATCACACATCCAAACTACAAACAGTTAAAAAAAAAAGAGAATTCTTTCAAAATTTCAAAGTAAAAAAGTTTGCAAATGTATTATATTAAGTAAACTAGAGAAGCCTCCTCCTGAAATTTCTAGTAGTTGTTTGATAAGTACGCACGAGAAGGCCCACA